CAGAAATCAAACTTTATCTGAAGGAAATTATTTGCAGATTACTTTTGGAAAACCACAATTGAGCATGTTCTAGGTAATTATCATAGATTTTTTCAATGAGTGTTTCTAAATATTGACACATTATGTGTGTTTTTGTTAGCAGTTGGTAGCAAGACCTTCCAGTATGAACTATATGGTGGCTCCTGTTACTGGTAATGATGTTGGAATTCGTAGAGCAGAAATTAAGCAAGGGATTCGTGAAGTCATTTTGTGTAAGGATCAAGATGGAAAAATTGGGCTCAGGCTTAAATCAATAGATAATGTAAGTATTTTTAATATCTATTTGAATTTGTCTAAATAACTTCCAGAATATTAAGTGATTAATATTAGATTAATTTGAAATAGAAATGCTTTAGTTAATTGTAATGGTGTGTGTACAGTTGAGACTATTTTAAATCTAACTTAAATTTGTGCACTTGAAGAATGCCCTGTTTTTTTAATTTATTTTTTATTAGCATATTCATTATTATAAATCATACTTATTCTTTATGTCCCTTATCCAATCCCCCCTCTGCCTCTCTTTCCCCTCCCTATCCCCTTCCCCACTCTAATAACCATAGATTCATCCTCTCCATCCAGTAGATTAACTGCTTCTCTCCTGGTTTGTTGCCTTGATGATTTGTCCAGTACTGAGACAGGTGTGATCAAGTCCTCCCCTATTATTGCAAATCTGATACTTGTGCTTTGTGGAGAGAGAGGACCTCTTCTTTTTGGTCTTCGCTAGTGCCTGTCCTTGTGTCAATGCAGTTGAGAGTCTGGTGTGCCATTTGCAGGGTGGCTGTGACTGCTGCCATAGAAACTTGTGGCAGCTGTGGCAATGGCAGTGGCTCTGGTGGGCTACCCATGTGGAAATGGTGTTTTTTTTGGTGTGCTCTTTCTTTGGTGCTTCTGGGGTCGGCTTCCCCCCAATCCATGCTTCAGGACCCTGGTGGGGCCCCGTGGTGGTGGCAGCAGTTTGCCTAGTTGTGGCCGGGTTCGGCTTTCACCTGCTCCTTGCCTTGGGACCCTGATGGAGTGAAGAATGCCCTATTTTGATGAGGTAGAGGTTGGGATTTTTCAACCACACTACTTTGAATGATTTTTTTTTCTTTTTTCAGGTATTCTAACAAATAAAATGTACTGGTCTACATATATATTTAAAATTTTTTAAAAAATTAATTATTACTATTTTTAACATTCTAAGATATTGTGGGGCAGTTGGGGAAGAGGGGGAGAGGGTAAGGGGGAGAGGAATGGGGAGGGAGGCGGAGGGGGGAGGGCTCAGGGCCTGTAGCACCTGCATCCCGTCTTTGCGGCAGGGGAGCCCGGGGCTGGTCTGCGTGTAACATAGCTCGGACAGTAGAATTCTGGCATTCTGAAATAGGGCGGCATATGTGAAA